ACCATTTTAAAAAACGCAAATAGATTTGCTTTTTCATTACTTTTAGTATTATTCGCTGTGTAATATTGTGTAAAATTTAATATAAATATCTTACTTGTATCCTAAAGGAACATTTAGAAATTAAAGAAATAAGAACGCAGACGACAATATAATTTTCAAAAGACAAATCCCGTTTTTTAAAGAACTTATTTAAAATGTTGCGTTTGCAACGCAGCGTTTGAAACGCTCAATTTGTGCGCACTATAATATCAATAAAATAAATTAACAACCAATATTTATACCGATTTCCTTGCTGGACCAATTTACCACATTATAAGGTAGGGGAGACTGGAGTTAGTAGACCGATTTTTATAAAATTGGCTATAGCTCCTAGGTTTTTTAGATAATATAAAAAAAATATATGATTAGATACCTAAAACTATACTCTATAAAGGTTCCTTATAAAAAATTTTAAGAATATAATCATTTTTTTTTGAATTTTACTTTTTGTAAAAGAACAATTTTGTCCAACAACCCCCAATAGCGGGTAAATTAAGGCAAGTTATATATAAAAATTGAAACTTTTTTGGTTAATTTAATAAACATTTTGTATTTTTTTCATTATTAACTGCCATAATTGACGTGTATGGTTTAGCAAGCCCTGCTAACTCTAAATTTCTGGATATAATAAATACTCATAAAATTTCCCAAATTATAAAAACTTCATCAATATTTTATTTCTTAAATAAAATTTTTAATAATTATTTCAAAAGATTTTTTGTCTATAGACGTAAACTAATAAAAACTATATTATGATAAAATTTTAACCTTCTGGTGTATTTAATTTTAAGATGAGATTAAGTGGTTTGCCAAGCCCCGGTACCTAACCCCAGTCTCCTCTACCTTATAATGTGGTAAATTGGTCCAGCAAGGAAATCGGTATAAATATTGGTTGTTAATTTTTTTTATTGATATTACACATTTAGTAAATAAAATTGAGATTTTTGTAAAAAAAAATACGAAGAAATAATTAATATGACCAACATTCAAAATCATTTCTATTTAATCATCCTTTTTTTATACTAATAAATTTATAATAAATTGCAACTGTATTAGATACGCGCCGAATTGACGCCGCGCCGAATTGACGTTGCGCCGAGTTATCGCCGCGCTGAATTGACGTTGCGCCGAGTTGTCGCCGCGCTGAATTGACGATGCGCCGAATTGACGCCGCGCCGAGTTTTCTGCGCCGAATTGTCGTGCGCCGAATTTTCCGCGCCGAATTGACGTGATACCGGCCTCTAGATTTAAAAAAAAAATTTTTTTAGGCCCGGCTCGGAATTTTTAAAAATTATATTCGACCTGGTATATTCAAAAAATTCATTAATTCTTATTTTATCATATTTTTCGGCGAGTATTATCATTTAATAAGCAAGTATATTAGCTAATGTTGTTAAACGGCTCGTTTTGAGCCGATTTTTAAAAACGGCTAGCTCAATATTTTTGCCAGAAAAATATTGACTAAGCCTCGAAATTTCGATACTATATGTCTAGACCTTTGCTCCTTCTATGAGCAAAATTTTCAGGCTTGCATAATATTTTTCTGGATAAAAACTTAGTTAGCCGTTTTTAAAAATCGGCTCAAAACGAGCCGTTTTATTTATTTTTTATTCTAAACAGATATTTAGTATATTACAAATACTATGTATTTATAAAAAACAATAAAAATGATATTTTTAATAAAAAAAATATAACATATATTATATATTATATAAATAATGTATATCCTTTGCGTATAAATTCCATGGTAGGAAAACTATAATTTTATTATGTAATAGATACTATGAGTGTTAGCTAGTGTTAACTTTCACCAAACATTATATTAATCATAACTATATATAATCATTATAACCATATCTAATTGACGAATATAATAATTCATGTTGTATAAATTTTTTAAAAAATTCGGCCCGGCCCGGCTCGGCTCGGCCCGGCCCAGCCCGGTTATTTTTTTAAAAAATTTTCAGGCCCGGCCAGGGTATATTTTTAAAATTTAAAATACGTCGCGGCCCTGGTACCCGGGCCGGGCTTAGGGCCGGGCCTGGAGGTCTATAAAAGATAATGTTTCGGCCAACAAATGTCGTGGTTGAGAAAATTTAGAGAATAAAATAAATATTATAAATAAATTAACTACTAATATACTTTATTAATTAATACTAAAATAAAAAATTAAAATTAAAAGATTAAAAATTATATTCGTAAATTCATAATAATTTTTAACAAGTAAAATATCCTCGATTATATATACTTTTCTATCCTATTCATTTACATCGTCTTTACTCAAATAATTTAATAATTCGTTTCGTTTTTCTGTTTAACCTTCGATTTGAATATTACTTTATTTTTCTCGATTTTATTTTATAGTAAATTTACATATTACAACACCCTTACACTTAGAATAGACCCCATATTCTGCGAAATACCAATATTCGTGCATGTATCCAATTACTGTTTTATTTCCTTTGCTCACTTACATTACCTATAGATTCTGTTTCTTGTCTTAGTCTGTTGTTGATTTAGCCCTGACAACTTGATTAACACATGGATTTAAACGATACATGATTGCTAGTCAACGATTATCGATACTACGTCTTAAATTCTCCCGATAAATTAATTCTTTTGCTTGTTTCTAACGTTCTCTTGTAACTAATGATCATTGCTTTATCTCGATCAACGATGTGCGATTCTTGATCTGCCATTTTTCACGAATTCTTGTTTCTTAGATAATCGATTTTGTATCTTATACTAAAGTTTTGATAAGCAATTGACAATAATTTGTCAACGATAAACGATTGCATCCTGGTAATGACCACTTGTTCTACCTAATCGCTTGTCAATATATCAACTTCGCCTTAAGATCTCTTATACGATAAAGATTTCTTTTATCTTTTGATCTCAAATAAAAATTCGATCTCTACGTGAGCTCGATTGCGACATATGTGACTAATTCTTTTTAGCTAAACGACCAATTCTATTCTTTTCCGAATTACGACCATTAATATTGATACCATTGCTTTATTACTCTCATTCTTTGTCTTAGTCGATAGTCATTTTATACATCCCCTTCCCCCTTTATTTAGATTTTTTTGGCACCATTGTCAAATAAAGAAAGATTATTTAGACTTAATATGTCCATAGAACATAATGTTTCGATAACAAATGTTGTAGTTGAGAATTAAAGAAAATACAAATAAATAGTATAAATAAATTAACTACTAATACTTTATTAATTAATATAATTTGTAATAACATAATCATAACTAAAATAAAAAAATTAAAATAATTTAAAATTAAAATTAAAAGATTAAAAATTAAGTTCGCAACATAATAATTTTTAACAAGTAAAATATGCTCGATTATATATACTTTTCTATCCTATTCATTTACATTGTCTTTAGAAATAATATAATAATTCGTTTCATTTTCTGTTTAACAGTCGATTTGAATATTACTTCTTTTTTCTCGATTTTATTTTAAAGTAAATTTACATATTACAACAATAACATCTTTATATCTGAAACTTCTTAAGACTCTATTTTATGCTCCAAATAAGCTGATAATACACGTTGCCTGACATTCTAGTTCATACGATAAAAAGTCCACATAATTCACATCTAAGAAAAATCATTCATCTTTATTTTTGTTAGAAGTATCTTCACCCATTATAAATCTTGGTTTATGTTCTAATATAACATCTAATATTTCTCATGCTCAAACCACAAAAATAGCATATTTAACATGCTCAGAGACTCCAGCTTCTTCTTTAACTTTACACGATAGGACGATTTCACCAAATATTCCAATATCATTTTCTTCAAAAGATAATTGCATTCCTATTCTATTCCTAACTTTAAAGGAAACTTCATCTTTATCTACATTACAAATACCTTTATTTTTATCTACATTTACATTACAACCTTCATCTATATCTGCATTACAAATACCTACATCTGTAAATTCTAATAAAATATCTAGCTTTTCATGCACAGAAGCAGCAAATTTAAAGAAAAAGATCTCACCTATTAAGTCAGATTTATTTCATTTAAGTTCAATTGCAACAATTCCACAAAAACTTGCCTTTTTACAACAACATCCAATCCAACCTGTGGACCTGAAACTAAATACATCGCGTTTGTATTATAGAGTGTATAAATAAAAATAAAAATATATATAAAACAATTAAGATTTAGTAAATATATTACAAGAATAAGAATTATGATATAAAATTATTCCATATATATAAAAAATATGGGAAGATTATTTAAAATCATTTATTAATTACGGATAGGCTTGTTACTAGCCATTAAATGAATGAAATAATATAAGTAATAATCACAAAATGAAGAATAATGCATTCAACTCAAAGGACGAGTAATTGTTTTAAAAGGATCGTATACATAAATATTAAAAAATAAAAATTATTTTAAATTTTAATATAGTATATTAGATTTCAAATAAAACTTTATAATTCCCGACGAGGCCGGGTAAAAGCGGGCGGTAGGCCCGCAAAGAGGGGTTTGGGATTGACGCCCTCAACTATGGGGCATTTCTTAGAAATATCCCACGGAGCCTTTAGTCTCCTAGTCCGCTCCTGGCTGTCTATATTAATTTATTTAAAAAAATTCTGGCCTAATATAAATAATGCGGGGGAAAAAAACTTCACAGTCAAAAAATTAAAATGGAGAAGGCAATGGAATATTTTTTGCTTTGGAAAGATAGTTATCCGATTATGATAGATTTGAACTTTTGTGAACAGGTTATTTATAAAATAAATTGTAAAGTATCAAACAAAATAATCAATCAGGTATATCTTGATTTTATTCTAATACATTAAAATAATTTCAATTTTAAATGCACAATTTAATTATTCTATTTTTCAAAAAAATTAAATTAAATATTCGATCTATATGTATTCGTTAAACAGGCTAACTGCTACATGTCAAAATATTTTTTCTAGTGCATAATAAACATGTCAAATTAAAAAATATTTCAGGAATGTGAAGAATTTATAACGATTTTATTATTTGTTCTCAATGTGAAACCAATACATTATTTTTTCCACAATTAAATTTAAATATCACATTCTAATATGGGAAGAAGTAATTTTTTTAAAAATATATTTAAAATTGCTTGAATTAATTGAATTTTATGTTATTTGGTGTTTTCCTATTAATTTTTTTCCCAAAAAATGTTAAGTTGATTATGGGTGTCACAAACTAAAGATATAATAAATTTAAAAAATGGGAATCTATATTTAATTATAGGGATTTTCTTATATTTAAAATTATATTCATATTTTATTATGATTGTTATATAACAATTATCTTAATTTTTGTTACTTTTTTATAAATAAATATTAATGAAAATAATTAGACATAATATTCATAGGCATATCTAGATTTTTTTTATGTGTAAGGGGGGGGGGTGGCACTATTAAGTGGTGCTTTCTTATAAATTTTTTTGGATGCCTTTAGGTCCACCTATAGTAAGCCTTTGACTATTATATTTTTATAAAAATAATTTTGGGTTATCTCTCATTTTTTTTATAAAAATTTTGAATTATATTCCATTATTTAAAAAAGTTATTAACTTAATAATTTTTCTTTCAAGTGCCTTATAATATTATATTCATAGTATTAAATAGATTAATTTAGCCAATTTTTAAGAATGGCTATACAAAATAATATCACCTAAATCACAAGATTATGCCAATAGATGTCCAAACTTTCTACCATCTATGAGCAAAATCTGCAGATCAGGGTAATTGCTAAAATCTGGAATTAGCTATTTGTAAAAATTAGCTAAATTGAGCTATAAGCAAGAATACATATTCAGGTATATATTCTCATCTGACATCTGTAAGAAATTTTGCAATAACATCCAATATTTTAAATTACCAATTTATTTATAATGGGGTATTGTATTTGCTAGTTCTATTTTATTGTTGCTTATTATTTTTTCTATTAACTTTAGCTAATAAATTGCTAATTTATAACCTTTAAAAAAAATTTCAATCTCCTACAAACCATTTTGATGTCACAAAAGATTACAAAATGGGATGATCTTAAATTGATAATTAAATTGAATAAGACCTTACATTTTATTTAATTCTACGATTAATATTTTTGCTCTGAAAGCAGCTTCATAGTGTACACAAATTGAATATTTCAATGCTGCGTTACAAAACACAAATAATACATTTTAAGTGCATTTGTTTAAATTGAGTACGTTTAATTATTGATATGCGTTTTAAAACGCTGCGTTGAAATGTTCAATTTGTACGCACTATCACAAAAATTCAAACTATTGAATTTAGATAAAAATCATACTATTTAATATCACATTAAGTGTAATGCTTAGCACATCTCTCTATTGTAACATTTCCTTCGAATTTTGACTACTTACCTCGTGAGGTTAAAAATCAAAAACATTCTTACCCACCCTTTTCTCTGAGCAAAATATTGTAAAAATTTGAGGTGATTTGGGCAAAATTTTCCTCTGAATTGATCATGATATACTTCAGCAAGTTTCTTATTTTAAGTACCAAATTTGAAAGAGATTTATATTTAATTTTTTTCTTCTAACAAAGTCATAAATTAAAAATCTGATTTTGGAACTCCATATTCCCATTAGAAAAGGGATTAATGCATCCATGATTTTTTTTTTACTCTAAGAGATTTCCTTAGCAAATTCCAATAAATACAGGGTTATAAAAGTCGCCATTTTTAAGGGATACTATTAATAAACATTTCTTTTAGCCCAATTTTTTTTCAAATAAAAAAGGTTACGAAAAATTTTAAAAGCATGTCTTTTTTTTGTAAATGAAGAAGTTAAGAAAACGATAAGAAAACAAAACCAAATAATTAAAAGGGGATAAAAAATGAAGAAAAAGAAAATAAAAGAATAAAACAATAATTGGTAAAAAGAGAAACCTTATTCCTTTCCTAATCTACGTATTTATTGTTTTATTTTATTTTTCACACGTTTTTTTTCCTTCACGCATTCGAAAAGAATGTATGTTTTATTTTGACACAAAATTCGAATTTTTTTTATTAATATTTTATTTATTTAGCCTATCTGTCACGATTCGTTCCTCTAGGGTTTATAAAAAATTTATTTTATTTTTTATATTTATTTATTGTAATAGTAATAATTTTTTTTAAATTAAATAAGAGAGAATTTCATATTAACATGGCGTATTTTTTTACGGGTTATAACCACCCCCCCCCCTTTTTATATATTTTTTAAAAACTCATTATTTAGAGTCAGAAGTAAGGGGGGGGGGGTGGGGGAGGAGTAAGAATGAAATATCACCTGTCATGTCATCGAAATTATTCGCCTGTCGAGATGTTAGATATATATTTATTTTCGCATAAATTAAAAGCAAACATAGATATATTTAGACGCGTGTCGAAAAAAAATAATAAAATCCGTCCCTCTGGGCTTTAGTTATTTTCACCACCATTCCTCGAGATTGGATATTAGTTTAGAAAATTCGTATAAGAGGGGTGGGTAAGTTTTGAGGGTATAAGTTGAGTTAGAAAGTAAGGCCCAAACATGCCCCACCCCATCCTAAAGTATTTTCTATTGTGCGTGTTTTAAAGAAAACCCATGTCAATCTGATTAAATGCCAAAATAACTAAACAATTATTTTTATATAAATAAAATAAGTCTGGGTCGGTTCTATTCAGAAGTTTCGAATTTTTTTTTTAATAACATATTTATTTTTTGATGCAAGCGCCTAATTGTTGGTGTCAGATCTTTCGTTATGCCAGATAATTCTGACCGAACGATGACTTATTTATATACTTCCTATTAAAAATTTCCTTGGAACATGCGTATGCCTCATTTGGGCTCTCGATGATTCGCTCCCTAATTTGGCCAAAATTATTACCCCCCCCCCACCCCAAAAAAAAGTAAATTAGGTATAACTCTCTAAGTTAGGCAAGAATCTTGGTCTCCCCAACGATATCCAAATTAGACAAGTTTGACTGTAGTAGGTTGATTATTTTAATTTGCGTCTTTCACACTCTTATCCTATCCATAGTTAACCCCCCCCCCTCCCCCATCCTAATTCCAATCCGCATAGACATCATTCACTCATAATTTAAGTTTTTTCTTCTTCTGACAAAATTCTTTGTATTTTTTTCCTATTTTACTTAATATAAAAAGCATTAATTAACACACTTTTTTTCCCCCTATATATTTGAAAAATCAAAAAATTATTTATTAATATTATTGCTTTCTCGATAATATTATATTAAAGTTTTTTTGATAATTGATCAAAAAAATTTTTTTTTTTATAATGAACTTAATTTCTTTCTTTCATTTCTTTATTTCTTTCTTTCTTTCATTTTCCTATTCATTATAATTTTTTTACTTTAGTTTGCGAATTCGATTTAAATCGTTCAATCAAACGGAAGAAATCTTTATTATTTTTTTTATTTTTGAAATTTAAAGGAGGCATATTTTGGCATGAATTAAAATCAGATAAATTAAAATTTAAATCGTGATTTAAATCAATTCTTCTGTTTTTTGTTTTGTTTGTATTTTAAATAATTGGAAATATTCCTCATTTTTTTTTAATATGTGATTTTGCATGTAAGTTTTATTTTTTAATAATTCATCGTTAAATTTTTATTATATAAAGGATTTTATATAAGCTGCGTTGAATTAGAGGACTGCATTGGGCCGGTTTTCCGCCCGCTCTCCCGCTCGCCCATACTTCGAATGGGCGTGGTCGGGTTTTTTTAAACTAATTTCAACATTGAGCGGGTGGCGGGCGGGTTGAAATTTTTTTGAGTAATGGGCAGGCGTAGGCGGGTAAACTTTTGATATTTTTTTCAGGCGAAATGAGCAGAACAGTCTTAAATTTTATTTTTTTAAAAAAAACAATAATAGTTCTATTTTCGTAATATTGTATATTATTATATATGTTTAAATTAAAAATACCAGAGTTGTTAAAGGATACTTTTTAAATGGATCTAGATAGATACAGATACAACGTCTAAAATAATATCTAGATATACAGATTATTTATATCAAAAATCTATCTAGATTCAGATACAGATACCACATTTTTATATCTAGATACAGGATCTAGATTTATCTTTAACAACTCTGAAAAAATACATTTAAATAAATAAAGAACCAGGCCAGCCATTAAATTAACTTTTAAACATTAGGTCAAAATTTATAAATAAATGGGCGGCCGTGCAAATTTTTTTTAAAAAATTTATAAGTTAGCGGGTGGGTGTGCTAAATAAATCTCAAAACAACGAGTGGGCAGACCTCTACGTTTAATCCCGATACATTTTTTTATAAATAATTTTTTTAAAATTGTCAAAATTAATGCGAGACATGAAATTATCTCTTATTCCTGTAAACTTATACTTTTTAAGATCGATTAAGGATGCAGTTTATAAATTATTCATTTAAAATATACCTACAAAAAATACGAATTTAACTAAGGATAAAGACAAACAAATTTTATTAGTGAGACAAAATAGAAGCATACATATATAATGTATTAATATACAATGTGGAAAAATCAATATAATATTCATATCTATAATGTAGAAGATAAATCTGACAACAGCCAATTTTTCAAACATAAAGTTTTTCGGATTGTTTCCTCCTTTAACGACATTCTGTATTTTGTAACCATATGAGCTCCAACAGAAAAGAGTCGCTCACATGGGGTTGAAGATCCCTGTATCGACAATATGTCCCTCGCCATTTTAGATAACACGGCATTAGCAATATTTTACAAATAAAGTGGTAAAAACTTTAGGCAAAAAGTCAAATTTATGATTTCTCCATCATCAAATGAAAGAGAAATATCAGGTTTGCCCGTCATTCTTGATGTGATGGGATTAACAGTTTATTATAATTGTATATGTTATGTGTTATATAAATTACATTCTTCGTCCATCTCTATCATAAAAGAAATTTCTAAAGTAATGGTCTATTATGAGATAAATTAAAATGAAGTTTTAAAATTTGGCGCAATTTTCATTATTCCACTAGGAGATTTTATTAAATTGAAATAATTTCAAATAATTCCTAATAATAATATATGATTATTTTCCAATAATACTATAAATTATTTTAGTCGAATAATCTCGAATAATTCGATCGAATAATAGATAAAAAATTATTCGACGAATAATATATTTTCCTTATTCTTCGAATCGAATAATTGTGTTATTCGTATTCGTAAAATACGAATCGAATATCGAATAACAAATAATTCGTTTTAGGTATAATTTAAAATAAGATAAAGAGAAAAATCTAACATCATTGCTTAATGTTTAAATTATGAATATGTTAGCGGCAATGCGTTATTTTTTTTCAGCTTGAGCGCGTTTTTTTATATTTATGAATCTGATTCCGGAAATGTAATCCAGCATGTTTATAAATACCTATCTTATCAATTGTACACCATTTTTTTTACAATTAACCTTTTGAGCCATTTACAATTTATATGAAAAATCTATGGAAAAAAACTGATATAAGTTAATATTTGGTTCAGAAGTTCATGGCATTGGCAAAATTGTCTGAAAATCATAGGGCTATAGATATTCCAAACATGGTGGAATATATTTTCGGTTAAATCAGATTTTTAAATTTAAGAAAACGCGATCAAAAAATGATTTAAAGTTGAAAAAAACTAACACTATTTGTCGCTAACGAATATATCAAAATATTAATTTTCAAAGATTTTTGGAATTTTTAAGGTAAAATTTGATTTTTTTTTAAAAAAAAATCCTTGTTTTGAGCATTTAAAAAAAAACAATCTTCAGAGATCTAAGATCTTTAATTCCTATTTTCAAGTACTTAACAAGCTGTGAAAATGCTTAATATTGGGATGAAACGGCTTCTTTACCCAATCAATATTACTACTTAATTTAGCATGTTTATTCATAAATTTCCCCAGGAAGAACAGATATAATGAAAAATGAATTCCATCCTCAAATAAATTTTATTCGAGAGTTTTTTTTTTCCTTCAGCTCATATATATTTTGAATATTGCTTTGAAGAAGAAAAAAATGTCTGAGTATATCAAGCCATTTTTAGTTGGTGGCACAGTTCATAGAATATTGTTTTATAAGCTTCTAGCTATAAGTGACAGGATCAGAGCGCAGGTTTCTAGCGCACTCCTTCCTCTCCAATTAGGTGTGGGAACGATTTCAGGGTGTCAGGGAGGTGTGCTCGCATATTTTGTTCCACCAAATATCACGACAGTTCAAAATTTGGTTATAATTTGATTTCATATATTAGCCTTCTCAGTAAAACATTTCCCTGTTTTTCAAGAATGATAGCTTTTCCTCTTATACATAAAATCATTCCACTTAATATTTGGTTTATATTGTCTTATAGGACATTCAGCAGGATCACTTAGGTTCCATCTTCTCTCTTCAGTAATACTCCAGCTGCCACATTTATGGTATAATGTATATTAATGATGGGGCCATCTCGGGTACTTTTCGAAAAAGTCTAAATAGTGATTGGCATTATAAAAGATTCCTCCGACAACCTCGGCCTCGTCATTCGGGCTCTCCCATTGGTGAAAGTTCTTTCAGTAATTTCTTTATCACTTTTTCTTCCTGACCTATCGGCGTCTTACATGGAATTCCCCCCCCCTAATTTAAAACTTTCTCAACCTTATCCCTAAGATTTTTTATTCCTTAACGATGATCGAGTCCAGTATTTTTTTGGAGAAATCGTGTCTAGTGAGATATAGTGGGCTAGAATAAATATTCCTGGTTATACGAGCATTCAGTTCGCGGATATCGCTCGGCATCAAAACGTGATGCCCTTCAAACACAGATTCGCTATAGAAATTTTAATTTAAAAAAATAGTGATTGGCATTATAAAAGATTCCTCCGACAACCTCGGCCTCGTCATTCGGGCTCTCCCATTGGTGAAAGTTCTTTCAGTAATTTCTTTCTCACTTTTTCTTCCTGACCTATCGGCGTCTTACATGGAATTCCCCCCCCCCCTAATTTAAAACTTTCTCAACCTTATCCCTAAGATTTTTTATTCCTTAACGATGATCGAGTCCAGTATTTTTTTGGAGAAATCGTGTCTAGTGAGATATAGTGGGCTAGAATAAATATTCCTGGTTATACGAGCATTCAGTTCGCGGATATCGCTCGGCATCAAAACGTGATGCCCTTCAAACACAGATTCGCTATAGAAATTTTAATTTAAAAAAAAATTATAAGTGTGTATATTTTTTTTTACATAAAACTTTTATCCTTTTTGAAAAAATATTTTTTAAAAAAAAACTTTTTAAAAAACAGATGCTCGAAATTCACACAAAAAAAATTAATATTTTTAAAAAGAAAAGAATGTGGTTAAAAAAGAATTGTGTTTTAAGCGCAGTTTGCGCAAGCGCAATCAAATTCGTAGAATGTGGTTAAAAGGAATTTTGTTTTAAGCGCTGTTTGCGCAAGCGCAATCAAATTTATATTCCATAAATTCACCATATTTTATTTTTTTATTAGTAGTATGAGATTTTGAAGATGATGTTACACACATATATATATATATATGTTAAGTTTTATGCTTAATTTGTCCTCGAAATATATATTATTTTCAAATAAAATTTTTGTGAGAGTGTGTGTTTGCGCTTTTTTTTCCTGAAATTTATTGATTCGGAAGAAATGCTAGGGAAATATATATATATATATATACGAAATTATAATTTATGCAGCATTCTTCTCCTAACCGTTAAGAGTCCCCGAACGGGGTCATATTCGATTGAGCCCGGGTCGGTCGGACTCGAATAGTCTTTTTCAGTTTTAACATTCTCATTAGGGTTAAACTCGGACTAGCCGAATTGGGGCAGGACATGCTCTGCAGCGCGAGATGATTTTATTTATACACATATAGCAGCTTTTAAACGGCATTAAAACCCATTCTTTTTAGTAGCGTTGCCTTGTGGAAGTTACCTTTCTTTACAGTTACAAAGTTGCCTCATTAAAAAGTAACTAATTGCAGTTACATTCCAAAACACTTAAATAATAACTCTCAAATTTACATTCCCAATTTTTATTTTATTTTTTCTGAAATTGTTTTCTCACTAGCTTACATACCCTTCCTTATATGACACTAAAATTATTTTATTTTTTTTTAAAAAAAAATATAAAAACATCTAGAATTTTCTACGGAAGATTTGCAGGAAAAAATGCTGCAAGATTACATGTGCGTAGCTCAAAAGAATCCTAAGGTAGTAACGTGAAAAATGATTGCTTAAATATTACTTATGAATTCTTTGCTATTTCTTGCCATCCTTGTATACCTGTATTTTTACAAGGTACAAAGATAGCTTAGTTTTTATATGTCAAAGGATTGATTGATGGACATTTCCCTTTTAGCATATTTCGGAGTCTTGTGAAAGTTGAAAATTTTAAGTCTGACCTGGCTCGGATTTTTTTTTATTAAAAGATTTTTCTATTTTTTTAAATTATTGAGGAAAATGGGAAAATATTGAGCAATAAATGAATGAATGTTTAAAATGATCCTACCTGATTTTCCAACTTAAATTGATCAATATGATTCTAAATATATTTTCTTTTAAATCCCCCTCCCCCCCCCCCCCGGCCCTACTCGTGTTTTTTAAAAATATAATATTTTTTTAAGCCCAGCCCAATGATCTATAATAATACCTAGATTGACGATGCATTCATAATAATGCATTTTGAAGGCATCGTTGAATGCAAATCAGCTGGACCCGCCATTTTGGTAAACCCATATAGTAAATTATTCTCATGGTTAAATACGACTTTTTAAATTGAAAACTCTCTTCCTTATTATCTCGATGTTCAGGCAATTCTTTAATAAAGTTTGCGTCATGCATAGGAATAAATTGGCCTCTCGTTTAAAATTTTTGATAACGGGTAATCAAAATGGCGTCCCCAGCTGTTTTTGATGTACCCTATTTTTAATAAATGCATCTTCAGTCTAGATATTATTTTATGTCATTGACCGCGCCCTTAATAAATAGATGAGCATATTTATAATCTACAACCCCCCACCCTCCACCCTCTTTTGGCGATTTTAAAGTATTTCATACTTACTCGTTTCTATAATTACTTTTATTAATGATGGATGTGTTTTTCTTTTATAATAGGTTAAAAAGAAACTCGAAGTCCTGACTACCTCCCAGACCAACCTGGACACGGAAATGGAATACAGCAGCGCTTCCAACTCAGTCGACAATTTGACTCCCAGCATGAACTCAGCCCATTCATCAGGTTTTTTATAAAAAATAATTGGAATATGATAGTTTTTAAAAATTTTATTTTTTAGTGTTATTCACAAACAAAAAAAAAATTGTTTCATGGAAGCCATTTTAATTTTTTTTTAAAGTTTATTCTTTTCTTTCCTAGGAATCATCATTTCCATTGTTTTTCATCTTCGCGATTCTCGTAATATAATCTTCCCCAATTTTTTTTTATTTAAAAAAAAAAATAGTGTCCAACATTTCCCGACAATTAATAGATCCAGAATGGTTAAAAGAGGACGTCATGCATTGCAAGTGCAGGATAGAGACTCTGAAGCAAGAGCTTAACAAGGGACTTAATAATTACCCCTTTTCCGCTACCAATCAGGTCAATAATCACCACCTACCTCCCTCCCTCCTTCCTCAACCCCCTCGCAACCATAATTTGGTCCCTAACGTTGGTCTGTGCTATTCGGAACTCTTCATAGCTCCGGCTTCCGCTAATAAGTATTTAAATATAGAATCACGTTCATTTTTATTTAAATAAATATATATTATAATGTTAACAACGCTTTAAAGACGTGGGCGTCGATAAGATTGTCGCGAATGATTTTGGCTGAGATTGCCCTACATTTACGGGATAGGTGACACTAAGCCCGGACTCATAGTGGGATCTAATTCGACACGATGTAACCAGCTGAGAGATTTTATTTCAATTTTTTCTTAATTAGAATCGATAATTCAGAATATTATCATGAATTAGAATTAAAATAAAAAATTTATCTCATAAGCAGATAAAATCGTTCAGCTGTTAAATCGTGTCGTATCGGATCCCACTATTAATCCATCCTAAAGGTGACTGACGTTACAGTGTCAAGGGGCTAAAAAATATGGAAGTCGGCTGAAAACCAAAATTTTATGCGTAAAATCGCCACTCCTTAACTATTCCTAATATGATAATATTTAGCCTAAATTCCTTAAACGCATCTTTTTGGTAGGCTTAAAATCTTCCAGACTAGAATTTCTCTTTCTAAATAGAAATCTTAATGACCTTCTATTCAGAAAGATATTTTTGGGATACTCATTGTTGATTTGTTTTTTGTGCGTCCTAAGTGTTCTTAATTTTTAATAATTAAGAAAATAAAATTCCTGAATATCTTTATTTTTTGGATTCGGAAAAGAAAATGAATGCTATTCAGAATTCTTAGATATAAAAAAAAGATCAACTAAGTCTTAATACCTTATTTTGATAACTAAAACAATTATAATATTTCTTTCATTTATTAGCTATCCCCTGCCCGTAATACCGGCCAAAATGTTCAACAGCGATCCTCTTTTGCAGGGTAAAAGCTTGGACCACTTATACCCGGGCCAAGATAACAACTACTTTTACTACTACAACAATCATAATCACCCTCACGATTCGAATTATGGGAATCTGGCCGATTCCTACGTTCACTCCGATATAAACAGCAATAACGCGCCTTCTCAAAACGGGCAAAATATGGGTTACTTAGGCCTTAGCGGCGGTAATGTCAGTGCCTTTTCCGATCTTAGCCGTGATCCCGACGGTTTATCTCGCAACCACTCTTTCAATCACGGAGGAATATCGGAGGGGGGCGAGATCTATTTTAGCGCCTATAACAATTCTTCCCTTTCTAAGGTTTCATTGACGCTGCTAAGATGATCCATCGGATAATTTATTAATATGAAGTAGATGAATGAGTGGAGTGAGAGGCATCTTTTAAAATTGAGTTGAAAATTATTTGAGCATTTTTTAAAAAAAAAAGAAGCGGTTAGCGTGTCACTCACTTTGTACAACAAATAGCTTTAGTGAAATTAACGAAGGTCAGCTAAACTAGTTATTTTTTATGCCAAACCCGATCGGAACAGTTTACGGACGGTTCTGAACTGGTTTGATTGACATTCATTAAATTAAAAAAAAAGTGATTTGGCGCGTTTTATGAACCCATTTTTTAAAAAAAAAACATTATGCCTAACCCTTTGAGTGAAATAATGAAATTAGGCAATCTGGTGTGAAGAATTTCTGAAAATTTAGATTATTATTGAACCAATATTTATGGAGCAAAAAAAAATTTAATCAGTTTGATTTTTTCCGCATTTTAAAACGCATAGAATGACTAAGGCTTCGTTTATAGTTGGCACTCACCGCGGGTATTTTTTTAAAAAGCGAATCGTTAAAATTTATAATCTATAGCTATTGTAATCCATCGCATCGCGCGGTCATTATAAATCTTTACCTTATCATTTCAGAGATGCGTATCCGCTTAAGCTATTGTACGCTTGCTATAGATGAAACTTAAGGTTTAGATTTTTATAATTTGCCAAAAATGAGTGTATGACTTTTAAATAAAAACAAACCGAATTTTTTTTTCTCGCTAGCTTATTTATCAACCTTGGGAATGCTATGAATCTATTATTACATACAAATTATATTTATTATGCTATTAATCACGGTTTTTAAAAAAAAATAATACAGGTCAATAATCAATTGAAGGAACATGACGGACAAGTCGGCAGGTCTTATAATAATGCCAATGATATGACATGCGGGCGACAGTCATCATACCCAGAAACCAATTTTCCAGTTATTATTTCAAAAATTTTACCGATTTTTTTTAGTATTTCTATTTGATAACCAATTTATTTTAATTGGCCTGCGACTAATAATTTCCTTTTTAAATGAAATTTTTACTCAAAAAATATTAAACCTCAGAAATTATCAATAATTTTATGAAATACTAATTTCCCATCTTCACCTTTTCCTCGTGGATATCGCTTTTTTTAAAAAAATTTAATTCGCTTTCGCTACATATTCATGCTTACATAAATTTTAAAGTATATTCAGTTTAATTGTTTTTTTAACTCAAAAGGTACATCACCAAATCAGCTGTGGCAGGAATCTCAGCGAAACTTCGCTCTTGCAGATAATGTATCTGAACGAACGTGAAAAACTGGAAAAATTGAAATCTCACTTGAGCCTGTTGGAAACCGTTTCCCAGCCGGAATTCTCTAATAATGACGATAAAGACAGGTGAATGAATGAATAAACCGGCTATTTTCTTTAGGATACCTTTTTTTATTGAGAATATCATGTGTATGAATAAAGTGGTCCTTGATTTAGGTTTATCTTTTGTTGATTTCGTATTTTTTTCTTCTTGTTGTTAATAGCCCTCATTGACTTTAGGGAATGAGAACGACTTAATCTGGTTAGCTAGTACATAAACGGGAAGGAGAAGGAGTAGTAGCAATTTGCTAAGGGGGTAGGAGATAAAATCCGGGCGTTATGTCTCATTTTCTCTCTTGTAGAGGCTGTTTAATTAATTACATTTTTTTTAAAAATCTTATTTCTTAATTTAAAAAAAAAAAGAATCTTGCAAATGCAACAAAAGGACAACCTTTTAAAACGATATAAGCGCATCGCCAAAGACGTCATTTGCGGCGAAGAGATCAACGTCCTCAATCAAAATATAGCTAGCCTCGAAAAGGACCTTCAAACGGCGTTACGGTTTTCGAATCAAACAATATCCGAAAGGTTTTTTATATACGAAGAATGTAATTTTCCTTCAAAAACAGAACCGAACGCGATTCTGTTCCATTTGATCGATTTTTCTTTGTTCCAAAAGATTCGCACTGTGATTTAGGAGTCCTGCAAATCGATGTATTTTTTTCACCTTGCCATCGCCTAGTCCATAAGTTTTAAAAAAGATCTCCCCCCACCCACCTCCCGAACTCGGCGCCCACCCATCTCAGTATTTATTTTTTTTTTTGTAAAATTATGAATAGAACTAGGGAAATATATTTTACAACCGTTTTTAATTAATTTTTCAGCCATCAGGCTATTTGTTATCAAATGAGAGGACTAATTTAAATATCTGGGTATATTAATAATTACCTTGGGTCGAGCCAATAGCTTAACGACGAGGCTCGGACCACGGGCTGGCCATGCAGAAACTTATTCCTCACACATATTATGAAGTAAGAAAAACGAATATCAATTTTTTCACAAACTGTAAGTTTAAGAAAATATTATTCTTCTTTTCCGTTTAATGGCGATTTCCAGATTTACCCAGGTTGGCCAATTTTCCTTCCGATTTAATCATTAGGAAATTTTATAGCAAAGTTTTTACAATCGAATGCCCTTCCTGACATCAACCCCTTTAGGTGGTATTTACACCCCGTCAAGGAGCCTGTGAAACCAAGAAAAATTGATGAGATATTAGTTGTTACCTTTCATCCCACAAATATCATGAGAAAATTTTAATATTCCAATCGAATTATTTCTTTATCTATCAATCAAAGGCATTTTAAAACCTTAATCCAATTTAAAACCTTTGCTTATGTAGGCAATTCATTTTTCTAGTTAAAAATAAATATAAAAAATTTTTCTTGTTGAATTTCATTCAAATGTTTCGGTAGTATGTTTACATAAGTCATATTGAGATATGAAATTCATTGAGATTTGGAATATCTAAACTGGGAACATTTTGTGAATTTTATGACTAATATAGATGATGAAAGAAATATAAATCTTATTATTTATTTTCACACCTCCTTTTTAAGGATAAAGTTGCAGAGCGAAAAGAACAATATTCAGAGGCAGTTACAAACGTCTATGGAAGAATTGGCCAAAATTGAGGAAAGATTGAAAGAAAAGAATGGCTGCGAAGAGAATCCTAGATTAGGCAATAGCAATTCATCACTAGAATCAGCCCCTTACAAAGAACTCGATGGTATTCATTCATTGTTTTTAGCGAAAATTTTTCTTTTATTAGACCCTTTTTCAAGAAGTCGTGCAAAAATCTAAAAAAAAATTATATAAGAGACCTGAAGATGTCCATTTTTTTTAAAGCACGGCTCGGGTTTCTAGTTTATTTTTATACTCAGCTCGGATATTTTAATATCGCATATGCATGTTTTACCATAATTTAGACGCTGTGAACGGGTCTTTGCCTCCTTGTTCCTCAGCCTCTTCCGCTCAACCTTCACCGCCACCAATCTCCCCACTTAATGCCTCCTTTACTTCCAACGAAGAAATATATCTTGGTTTGCTGCACAAAGAAAGGCAGCTCCAATACATTTATCAAAAGATCGTCCAATCAAAAGCAAATAAGCCTGCGGTAGGCGAGCATTGCAACGACGAAGTTCATAGCATCTGCAAGGTTCTCAATACTGAAATGAGTCCCACCTTGGTAGGAAAATGCGTTCATATATCTACGACGCCTACTAAGGTATTTAAGAGGGAGGATACCTTGACGGAAAATAAAGAGGAATCTATAATCAATACTCCTATCATGGTAAAAAAAAGGGTGGGGGGAAAGAAAGAAATATATTTATTTTTGATTGACTTCTTCCATGACTTTTAAAAAATTATGGTGATCTTTATTATAAAAATTTTTTTAAAAACTAATATCATGAGGGCATAGATCCGTGAATAGATAAGCAGTTAGATCTGCATATCTAGAAATATTTATTATCCGAGATAATAGTTTTTTTGAGGTTGCCAGAATCTTCCCTAAAGTTTTTAGAAAGAGTGATGCGTCCTTTTTTTCGACCTTGATATAGATTCTACAAAAAAAATACAGGTTAATCAAGTCCACCTACCTACAAGCAACCCATCATCGCATGCCATATCACCAGATCCTCAAAAAAATGACATACTTGACTCTCAACCCTCTCTTACTCCTGGTGATATAAATTCAAGCACTCTGGACGAAGGCATTAACCAGAATTCACAGAATGCCGTCTCTTCCTTTAACGGTTACTCCATGCGGGATACTAAAACAAGTTTTTTTAAAAAAATATTACAAATTACTGATTGTTTTTACAATAAGAAAAAATCATATTTGCACCAATTTTTCCAATATCGAAGATTCTTCTATGAGTTAAATTTTTTGCTCCCTCCCCCCTACTTTTTTTTAATGTAGAATATTAGGCCTGATTCATTTTTTTAACCCAATTATATTTCTGAAGATCGATATTTTGTTTTTTTCAAGGGAAATTTAAGAATCTACCAATAATTATTAAAAAAAAAAATTTTCCCATAGGAACCGTTGTTTTATCTACAATAGAAAACCGCGCTACCAGCAGGGAATCAACTCCCATCTTCAAAAAACTGCCTAACAATATTTCAAAGTCAAAAACAATCACCGAATGTTACGCGTTCGTATGAATATTCGAAACTCCATTATAGCTTAAGTTGGTTACCATAATACTTATTTATAGAGGTGGGACTCGTTTAGCTACCTTCTTAGTCGTGTTAATTATCACTTATCTTCCAGCCACTGTATTTCATTCGCTATGCATTTATGATATTTAAATAAATATTTATTCTCATTTCTTTTATATAAATTTATTGTTTAAAATATATTTATTTATTTTAAAATATAATTTTTAAAATATTTTCTCTTTATATTTAAGAAAAACAAACATTGTAAATTAATTATGATAATTAATTCTAATAGTGTTTACTTGTATTTGAAAGAGTGTCACTCATTTCCATCGAATAAATATAATATATATGTGTCAATCACATCACACTTTTATAATTATTCGATAATTATATATTGATGGGGTTATTTGGTTTTTGGTGTCAGTAGATCGTCCCCATGGAAAATTATTTATATCTGGTATATATAAAACTCACAGTTGGGACAATATACTGCTAAATTTTAAATTTTTTTGAAATTATTTATCTCATAAGTTTATAGCGTGAGATTGCGACAATTTTTTTTACAAGTACAGGATACCAAAAAAATTAATTACTCGGCCGAGTTGGAAAATATATTAGAAAAAACCGGTTATTATCCGGTTACCGTCCAGTTCCGAAGAAAGAAAATCCGAACTGTTACCGGATCCTGAACCCGGTAAATCTTTATTTTTTTTAATATTAAAAAAGTCACCGCCAAACCATTAACGTATTATTGTTTTTTTTCGCTTCGTACAATTTTATGAGCGCAAAAAAAATTCAGTTGTTATATTTTTTTTTCTCAAGGTCATTTTAAATTAATATCTTTCTTTTCTTGTTACATTACTTTCATATTGTAATTGTATATTTAAAAAAAATACATTAATAACTAACTCAATCTGTTATTTAAAGAGTTTTGGCAAGGGAATTAGAAATCTTTTTCTTTATATTTTCGTAGTTTTTTTTTTAATCGTAGAAATAAGATTTAAACTCACTTACTTGTCTTATCTCATTAAAATAAAAAGAAAATGGTGGTTTTGAACGAAATTATAATTTAAAAAAAAGATAGTTGTGGAATAACACCTATCTTAAATCGTAACGTTAGAAATCCCGAAATCTGATTCTAATTTTATCGGAGATATATTCAAGCATGCTAAAGAGTTCCTACACTATGAATTTCAGACAATTTACTCGGTCCTTTTACACATGATGAAATACATTTCCGGTCAGTTCAGATTTTTTTTTAAATTTAAAATTCGCCCTCGTAGATGATCTAAAGATGAGATATTTCAAATCCTCACTTATTCCGAATAAACTAACGGCATACATTTTATATTATTTACGATCATCGCTGCGCAAGGTTTGCCATTTTATGCAATTCCCAGAATGGGCCGCCAATTATTTAAATCACATCTGAGTGCATATATTACAATTTGTTATGTTGATAAATATAAAATTTTTAAATGGTATCGAAAAAGTATCTTTTGTATAAAAATAAATATCTAATCAAAAGAAAAATTATGATCCGAGATATAAAACAGCGAAGGATAAGATCAGAGAAAACTCCTATATAACAATATAACATGATGGCCACTAAATTTGTAAAAAAAATATATTGTCGCGGCCGATTCACGACATATAAGGCTGCTATCAAGCGGTATGCGGCCAACTGTGGATTCCATTTTTAAACCATCGTGCAGGCCGCTAATAATTTTATCGGGGCAGGGTTCTGTTTACGATACGAATTTTAAGGGCTATTTATTTTTAAACTTTAAGAAACGAAGTGGGCCCCGAATTCGGCTTTATATGGAGTTAGAACCTTATAATTATCGAACACTTTCTAAAATTATAATGCGGTGAGAGGGGAGCTTTTTTCACATTAATTTATTTTTATTGAGTCCTTTTCTTTTAAAAATTATATTGAACACTATATATATTATTTATAGAGAAAAATAAAATACTCATAAATAATAATATATAATAAAAAAAATACTACATTATGAAACATGAATATCAACTCGAAAATGCTATTTTAAAAAATGATTTATAAATAATATAAATGTGAATATAATATATATAATTCTTGTCGAACAAAGAGAAGGGGGGGGGGGAAGCATGATGAAGATAGTGTTGTTAAACGGCTCCTTTTTAAAAACGGCTGACTCAATATTTTATCCAGAAAAATATTACGTAACCCCGAAGATTTTTCTCATAGATGGCACAAAAGTTTGGACATCTATTAGCGAAATTTTAAGGCCAATGGAATACTATTCTGGCTAAAATATTGAGTTAGCCGTTTGACTCAAATCGACCATTTAACAACACTAGATGAAGAAATATATAGCAAAAAAGCTTTGAAATGACACTAAATAATAATCGAATTTTTGTTTTTTTTAAGAAAATATAAATACAAATAATTTTTAAGAAAATATAAATATAAATAATTTTTAAGAAAATATAAATACAAATAATTTATCTAACATAAAAATATATTTTTTTTTTTTGAAAAACCAAATAATTCTTTAATATATTATATTTAATTATAATTTTTCTATTTTTACTTTTGAAGGATTCCCATTTTTAATATGAAAAAAAAATTAATATTCTAAACAATTAAAACGTATAAAATATATGGTAAGATCAGATCATATGTGAATCCTTGGATAATTGGCGGCAATGGAATTGTATTATTCTCCTGGTCCATGTCTGTATCTGTAGACAGAACCGGCTACAAACAGGGAACTAGCTACTATAGTGACTACATTGATGCTTATCCAAAATTTGCTCTTAGCTTTATCTAACATCTTTATGCTTTTTTTAAAAAAAAATTTATAAAATTAATTTTACTCAAATAAGGTACAAAAATTTACATTTTGAAGAGTAAAAAAAAAATTTAATAAAATGCTACAAATTATCATAATGGTTGGTCAATAAAACTAAGTTAATAGTTTTTGATTTTAAATTTACCAAATAAATATTATTTAATTTCCCAGATGACACTTGTTAACATCTTATAACAGTCCGGCTGAATTTTGACAAGAATTCAATGTCAATTTTTCAATAATTATTTACATTTTGTCTTCTAAAGCAAGGCTTATAAATTTAGGTATTTATAAAATTATTATTTTTTATAATATTTTTGCCAAAGGTAGTAAAATAAAAACGTTTTAGACAAGAAATGTAATTTTAATTTTTCTTTAAAAAAAACTAACAAATGCAAAATCCAAAAATGTATTAAAATTTTTGTATATTTTATTGTGGCTTGACCTCTTCAAAAAAAATCAAATATTCTATTCGCTTTAAAAATCCGATTTAAATAGTATCAAATAGCAAATAGTTATATTATTCGAATATTCGGTTAACAAAGAGTATATTATTCGATTAGTTCAAACACGAATAGCGAATTATTTGATTTGTTCGAATACATGATTTAAAATATCTATTACGGGATTTGATTGGTTCCGGGGGCTTTGAATTTCGAATTGCCGAACCATTTGAAGATCTTCTTTTCCATATTGGTCAATTTATCCAATTGGACTATTTTTTATTATTTTATTTGGAAGAAAATATTATATTTATGTGTTTGTTAAAAAAAATATGTAATCAGAGGAGGCCCGGGCCGGGTATACGAGCCGGACCGTATTTCAATATTTTTTAATATACCCGGGTCGGATATATTAAAAAATCCGGGCCGGACCGTGCAAATGGTGGCTCCACAGTTCTCTGAAATATGTTCTCTTATAGTATCTATAAATTATGGGTAATAATGGAAAATTATTAATTAAACATATAGTTAATAAACGATAAAAAAAAATTAGAAGGTTCATTCAACTGTTTTATTTTGTACTCTTGTTTATAAAACCAAACATATGTTCTCCATGGTTATTTAAGGTAAACGAATCCATAAAGTTAATTTTTCAATATAAAATCAATATATAAAATAGGCCATTTAATTTACTCGCAAAACACCGCTCCTTAAACTCACATAAGAAATCAACTTACTTTTAAGCAATTAATATCTTGCATTTCTAAAGAATTTATTTTCTTAAAACAGATGATTTGATTTTTAAAACTTTTAATTTTACTTACAAAATTATTTACAAAGCAATAATTATATCTTCAAAAATAGATAAAAATCTTGTTTTAAAATCATCTTGTTAAATGCATATTCTTTTTTTTTACCTATGTCATTATCCAGTGCGGGATTTAAAGTCCTGGTTGTAAAATTTTTATAAGAATTTGCCATTGTTTTCTTCAAAATACTTTAATTTAAATGAAATTATAAATGAAAAAAAAAATGAAAACATATGATTTTGTATATTTATGATATAATATAAAGTAAGAAAAAAAAACAGGCGAGAATTATATTGCGTATTATTTCTTATGCTAGTACGACGGTAATGGTATGATGGTAAATAATAAAATGGAAACCTAATTATGCAAATTAAATTTAGTTTATGCGCTATTTGCCTGGCAAGAAGAAGAAGCAATAAATAACTTAACAAATTATAATTAATTTTCTAATTACAAATCCCTTACAATTTTCAGGAATAGGAATGTACAAATTTTTTGCTATTCTATCATGTAAAAATAAAATATTTCTCTTCTATTTTTTTTTGAAGTGATAAAAATTTTAATGTTAAAAAACAGACGATTTTTTTTTGCCTAAATAAAGATTGCTTTTAGATTTTTATTTATTTTAATTTTTGTTTATCGTTTGTTATTAAAATACAACCTTAATATTTTGGCCAAAATCAAATTAAAGATGGAAGATTAAATACAGAAGAGGTAAGATAATCAAAATATTTATGTCCTCCATTGTCATAATATTTTTAATTAATTATATAAATTAAAGTGTTTTTTTTTATTTAACTGTAATTAAGCATATGTTTGATAAATTGTCCTATTAATATTTAATTTTAAAAACAATTAATAACTTTGAAAATTTAATTTCTTCATAATCTGTAAACAATTTCAAAAAATTATTCATTTCTTGTCCAATAATCGTTTTAAGACCTTCTATTGGACATTTCTATTTCCCCCACTTCTCCTCAAGCCAATAAGGCTACAATATTAATTCCTTAACCCCCCTCACCTTCATGAACAAAAATGAGAAAATCAAAAAT